CGGTTTTCGGCTCTGTTTCGGTCACTTGCTGCTTCGGTGTCGCTGCGGTCTCCGCTCGATCCCTGATTTTCTCCGGTTAGTGAAAATTTTTCGTTTGGCGGCTCAATTTCGGTGTTCGATTCACTCCGCCTTCGTCTTGATTTCGACTCGTTTGTGCTCTGCTTGGGTGGTGCTGATTTCGGTTTGGTTCTTGCTGTGGTTGAAGTGTCGCTCTGAGGGGTTGAGTGTGGCATCCCAAATGTGGGGTCCATCCATCGGTTCCTTTCCCCCTCCCTCTCCGCCCCCCCCCCTCTGCATAACGCCAGCTCCGTGACATGTCCCTCCACGCATCCTAGAGCCTGCCACGGGACTGCAAGGCAAGATTCCATGTTGACAGGTGCCGGTCTGAGCTTGGTTCGCATTCGGGTGCTTCCGCTTGGCTGGGTGGGTTCGGATGCGAGCGAGGACGTAGCTGGGCAATGGGTTCATCATGCATGCGGTTGCAACACTCGAAGCCCTAAAGCGGCACACGTCTCATTGCAAAGTGCAAAGCGGCCCTTCATCCAAGGAGGAGGTCCTGTTTTGTTGTGGTTGCTTTGTTTTTCGGTTCCATTTCTACATCTCCTACGAGGCGCTCGGAGCCCTCATGGCCTATGCATGCAGTGACAGGCGGACGACTCGAAATGCAAGCTAGGCGGAGGCTGCAAGGATGGTGGAGCAGCTGCGTTTTTTTCCAGAAGTCTTCCCCTGACTGAATGCATCGTGCCCCCAGGTGCACCCTGCCAGCTGCGGTTTTCGCAGCTGCACCGCTGCAACCCCAGCACAAGGTGTCGGCAAGCACGGTTGTATCGGCATACGATCTAGACTGACTCTAGACTCTAGACTCAGATCTCGACACCATGTGCAAAACCTCGGCCCTAGTCGGACTCTTCGTCCATGCCCTGGGCTTTCTTCGGCGCCCGCCTGAGCTGTTGGAAGTCCGAGACTGAACCACGCACCGTTAACCCAAAGCCTTTAACCTGAACTCAATCCCAACGTAAAGCCAGG